CTGCCGGAACCGGAAGGGGATAACAACGAGGACTAACCTAAAATTACTCCAAAACGTCTGAAACTCCTTTGGAATCCGTAAGGCGTTTACATCCAACGATTACAGTTTCCTTCAACTGGTCTTGAACTATACCGAACAAATATATATGCGTATATGGGCGATTCTTCAAAAAGAAGGCATTTTCATGTCTTTGTGTTATCTATAAACATCGAATTTATTTGCTTTAGACAAAAATGTCATTTAAAGTTCCCTTAATTTTATTAATATAACCTCGAACTAAAAAGTAGTTTTTAACAGAACCTAAAAATACATTTAAAATTGATTACACTCAAATTCGAAAGATCAATTTGTACAATTTTCGAAAAAAATTATATTTTGAGTTAAAATTTGTCATAAATTTTAACGTTTTTTCTTAAAAATTAGTAAACAATTGTAATTTTTATTAAATTTTTTATAAATGACACATTTTTTTCATTGAAAGATTCTCTACATTATTCCCAATTATCCAAACATAACCTATAATTTTTAGTTTCTTATGTACATATTTTTAATTTCAGAGCGCGTCAAATTTATTTTAGTGACATTATAACCATAAAATAACACTGGCACACAAAAAAATTTGATGTTCTGAGCTTTTGATCAGACCATGACTAATTTATGTTTTCGGGGTCGCTGAAACCGAATCTAAAGTCCGTTTAAGGGTACGGTCACACTATCTCATGCATGCACTGTGCATGCATGCAGAAACATTAGGCCGGTCACACTTCAACTTTCTAGTTACAATCGAAATTTTTGGAAAATTACTAGAAAGTTACTAAACATTCACTAGATTTCGTTGAAGTGTGACCGGCCAAATGTTTCTGCTTGCATGCACAGTGCATGCATGAGATAGTGTGACCGTACCCTTAAACGGACTTTAGATTGGGTAATGTAATAAAGTAATAAAGTCGCTGCACAGTAAACTTGGTTGTATCTTTTTCTATTGCAACGTTTTGATGCACATAAGTTATATCAAAAAGAGATCGTTTTGTGTATCATTTTTAGAAATGATACACGAAACGGTCTCATTTTTTGATGCAAAAAATTTAATCAATTTATATCAATCATGGCCGAATTGAATCGACTCAAAATTAAACGAATTTTTTTCAGATATTTTGGTAATAGTACAATTGCGGAGACCATTTCACTATTTAATTTGAAAATGAAAATAACAGAAAATCAAAGACAATGAGCAAATCGATAATTAAAAAGTGACAGCTTATAAACATAACCTAAAATGCATGAGAAAAAATTTGTCGATAAAATCAATATAGCCGAGCTTTTTAGAAGGTAGATGGCAGCACTCATCTATTTTCTTTCTTTAAATTTTTTCTGAATCGTTTTTATAAAAAGCAAAACTGCCATCTACCTTCTAAAAAGCTCGGCTATATTGATTTTATGGACAAATTTTTTCTCATGCATTTTAGGTTATGTTTATAAGCTGTCACTTTTTAATTATCGAATTGCACATTGTCTTTGATTTTCTGTTATTTTCATTTTCAAATTAAATAGTGAAATGGTCTCCGCAATTGTACTATTACCAAAATATCTGAAAAAAATTCGTTTAATTTTGAGTCGATTCAATTCGGCCATGATTGATATAAATTGATTAAATTTTTTCCATCAAAAAATGAGACCGTTTCGTGTATCATTTCTAAAAATGATACACAAAACGATCTCTTTTTGTTATAACTTATGTGCATCAAAACGTTGCAAAGATTTGATGCAATTTTTGGTCTCAATTTGATACTTTTAGAAAAACTGTGTATGTAATACATTTTTTATTATTATTTTATTTAATTTTTAATATTTTTTAATAATTTTTTACTAATATTATATTTATTGACAAATTCAATTATATCAATGGATAAAAACAAAACGTTTGCAACATAAAATTGATATTTTTATTATAACTGATAAATTAATTTAATTTAAATTAATTTTATTTTAATTTTATTATAATGATTTTTATTGAAAAATCGTTTTGTTTAAATTCATTTTATTATAATTTTAACGCCTAAAAGAAAATAAGTTTTTAACTTAATTGTACATTTTGCATATTGCATTGCAAACTTAGATAACCTAAAATATTTTTCCGTTTCAAAAAATTGATATTTTAAAGAGGAGGGCAACTAAAAAATGGTTTTACATAAAAAAAAAATCTATTTTGATTAAAGATTCAGTACAATAACTATCAAATGTGTGCTCGCAAATAAAATTTTCAAAAAATTTTAACTCAAATGTTACAGATATTCGTCCATATATGAATCACAAAAAATCACTTTTTTTTCCTCCTCGCGATTATTATATTTGTAACAAAAATCCTATAATTTTAGTTTAAAAATGGAATAAACAAACATTTTTTAAAACGAAATATTACCTTTCGTAAATATTTTTTTTTTACATTTTTAATTGAAATGTTTAATGCATTTTTTTAAAATAGATTTATTTTTACAATTGTTTGGATATTGTTTTTTTTTTTTTAATGAATTTTTTTCATTGCTCGTTATTTTTTTTTGTATAATTTTTTATTAATAAAAATAACAATTCAATATTTAACGAGCGTAAAAGAAAAAAAAATTTATTCCAGAATATGAAAAAAAATATGTACGATTGTGCTCACGAGAGGTAGAAAGATTTATTCAGTTTTTTTTTAAATATATGTATATATATAGTATTTTTGTGAAGAGAATGAAAAATAAAAAGAGGACAATAATAATATCGTTCTTTCGATTACCATTTATATATTCCATTGAGATTTTAGACCCGCGCGCGCATATACCAAAATCAAAGAGGGCATAAATGTTTTGTATTTTTTTTTTAGATTTCTCTCTTTCTCCTCCAGAGATAATTTAATAAGGATAATGTAGTTTCTCTTTTGCAACTGATAGTAACACCTGAGCGTTTTTCGCTTTTCCACATTTTAATGACTTTTTTTTTTCTTTTTTTTGTGTGTTATACTTGTTTCCACGACAAAGTGAAACGCACAATTCCAATAAATTAATCAAAGGATCGAACAAACTTGAAATTTAATTATTTCAAGTCATTGAAATGTAAAATTTAAATTTACTCTCGTGACTTTGATTATATTTTTAATTATATAATATGAAAACCATATATATATATATATATATATATATATATATATATTTTGCAGAATAAATTATTTCATTAATTACAAAAATTAATTATTAATCACTGAAATATAAAAAAAACTGAAAGCAATATTATTAAAAAATAATTTGGTTATTTTTTTTGAAACACAATATTTTTTTAGATTTAATTTTTATAAAGAATATTTAAATATCAAAAAAGTAAATAATTTTGTTTTTAATTTCAAAATTAATTTGTCTCATAGTCTAATAATTGTTTATTTGTTTTAAAATAAAAAAAATTTATTTAGCACAAATTAAATTTTATTTAACGCACAATTTTTTTTTTTTAAATCAAATAAAATTTATTTTTATTTAAAATCAACAAATATTGATCTATAACAAAATAAAATTTATTTGGTCACATAAATATTATATAGACTCTAAGAAAAATATATCCTCTGGATTTAATTAAAAGAAAATTATAATTGAATATTAATTTAATTCGTTTATTATTTTGAATTATTGTAAATCTTCAATTATTAAATTTCTCAACTTAATTTAGGTTATATTTTTCATAAAAACCATTTTCATATTACTGTCATTAAAAAATGAAAATTTTATAATCCAAATGTATTTGAATATCATTGTTCCAGTAGATATAATTCATCTCGAAAGATTTTTAATAAAAGAAATGAAAAAAATTTCTTTCAATTGAAAGATTATTATCAGCTATTTTTTCATATTTTTCATAGTCAAGTTATTTTTACAAAGCAAAGTTTAATTGGACATGAAGTAAATATGTCACAGAGAGAGAGAGAGAGAGAAAAAGTGGAAAAAATAAAAGATAATAAAAAAGAAGCAATTGAAATAGTTTATGATTATTATTCGAATAATATGATTTCTTTTAAAAAAATAAGATATAAGAATTTAAAAAAATAAAATGAATGAAAATTAGAAAAGTAAGGAAATTGCATTATTTTTTATTTCAACATTTACATTCACATTTCTTGTCTATTTAAATATTACACAGTTTAAAAACTGACAATTTCATTCTCTTTATAAATGAAATGAAATTATATACATATATCGAAAAAAAATTATTCTATATCCATGATAAAATTTTAGCATTTTTAAAAAATTCCATTTTAATATAAAAAAAAATTTTAGTATTTATTTATTTATTATTTCTCTCCATGTACATCTCTTTGGATTTTTACATATTAATTGCCCTCTTAAAAAATTAAAATAGAATAGTAAAATAGTAGAATAATAAAATAATTAATACCGTTCTTAAGGCTAATTTAGAATTACAAAAAAAAAATTTTAGTATTTTATAATAATTTATGACAAATGAAAGTTATTTTTTTTTTTAAAGAGACTTTGAAATATGTTACAATTAATTTTGAAAATTAAAATTCCATTTTTATCGAAAAAAATTATTTTTTTACATGAAAATTACAAGAAATTTTTTTTATTTATTATTATTATATGAATTGTAGTTTATGCATAAATATAATAAAAAAATATTAAAAAAAAAAAAAACAAATGTAGTTACTGAAAATAAATATTTTTTTATTTTCTAGAATTCGATTTCCGTTTAAAATTTGTATAGATTTCATTTTAAATCGACTTTAATGGAATATAAATGATACTTTAAAAAAAAAAAAGTATTAAAAGATTTCTGCAATTCTTGAAAAATTTGAAATAGAGGAACACAGTGCGAGGAGGCCTTGAAATCCCATGTGGCTCGCATATTCATTTATTCTAAAAAAAAAAAAAAAAAAAACATGGCCTCTGACTCTTGAATTGTTCCCAAGGGTCGAATTCTCTGACTCGGTACCGATGAGAAACGGAAATCTATTCACTGCAAAAAAGCAGATGGTCCGTCAGTAATTCTCAGACTCTAACAAGGCGAGGATCTCATTTTTAAAATTTCTCTCAAAAATTTTCATATTTAATTTTTCACAAAAATTGAAAAAAAAAAAAAAAATTCTATATATCGGGAAAAAAATATTTACAAAAGTGAAGTAAAAAGGACGAAAAAAAAAAATGATTTTAAAATTTTTTCTTTGTATGATCATTGAAATTTGGATTGTAAATGGAAATACAACGGAATCAAGTCCAACAATTGCACCGACAATAAGTACAAAAAATGAAAGTTTTCACAGTACACCACGTGCAAATAATATGGATTCAATGAGACCGCCTTCTTTTTTCGATTTACAAAATATGCATACAACTATTGTTCATGGAATGCCCTGTGTTTGTAATCTTGGCTTTAGAAGCACAAGTTTGAGAGATGACTATCATTTAACTGAAGGTGTTGGAGCTCACAAACTTCATTCAAGAGCCGCCACCTGGAATGAAGCCAGGAAAACGTGCAACGACGAGGGTGGACATTTGGCTATTATCAATTCAAAAAGAGAAGCCGATGTGAGTAGCAAAAAAAAAAAAAAAAAAGAAATTAAGAATAATAATAAAAAAATTTTTTTCCTCTATGCAATTTATATTTTATCAAAACAATATTATGTAGTTAAATAAAAAAATACAATTTTTTGGGTAATTAAACAAAAAATAGAATAATGGTAAATAATAGATTCGCCTTATGTTGGCTTAATTCTCACAAAATTGAATTTCACAAAGTCGATTAACCATTTTATCAAATTTTTAAAAATTCAAAATTTTCAAAAAAATCGAATTATTAAAAGTTCAAATAACAAAAATAGATCAAATTTAAAAAAATTTTAAATTATTCAACATTGGAATTTTCAAAAGCTTGAATCTTTGAATTATAAAAAGATCGAATTTTTATTAGAGAAAAATTAATTAATTAATTCTTAATTATTTAAAAGTCGAATTTTAAAATAGTCGAATTATCAAAATATCAAATTACCAAATCGATTTTTTAAATGTTAGAAATAACAAAAAAAATTGAATTATAAAAATATAAAATTGTTAAAAATTTGAATAACCAAAAGATAAAAATTACCAAAAAATTGAATTTTTAAAATTTCGAATTATTAAGAGTTCGAAATTCAAAAAGATTAAAATTTCGAAATTCGAATTATTGAAAGTTCAAATAACCAATAGATTGAATTTTTAGAAATTCGAATTATTTAAAATTTGACTTTTAAAATATTCAAATTACCAAAAGATCGAATTTTTAAAAATTCAAATATAACAAAACATTGAATTATCAAAATATAAAATTGTTAAAAATTCTTTATAACCAAAAGATTAAATTTCCATAAGATCAAATTTTTAGAAATTCAAATTATTAATAGAGTTCGAATTACAAATAGATTAAAATTTAAAAATTCGATTTCTTAAATATTCAAAAAAACAATAAATCGAGTTTTTAGAAATTCGAAATTTTAAACTTCATTTTTTCGAATGTTCAAATTACCAAAATATCGAATTTCTAAAAGTTCGAATTATCAAAAAAAAATTGAATTTTGAAATGGATCTTTTTGTAATTCGAACTTCTTTTCTTAATAGTTCCATGAAATGGTTATTCAATCTTTTGAGATTTAGGCCAAAAAATAAGGCGACTTAGATAATTTTATTGTTTAATTTTTTTAAAACCGAGTTTTCAATCTATTTAACGTCGGTAAAGTAGATACAGGCGTCGCCACTCAATATTACACGTGAAATTTGTAAATATTTCCCCACTCAAATATTTCAATTGCAAATGCATATATTATTTTAATTTAATACGTAGAGTCAAAGAAAAGATTTCTTTAATTTAAAGAAAATTTATTTGTTTTAAAGAAATATTTTTTCAATTTTTGAACAAAGTTTTATTTAGAATAAAACAATTTTCTTTAAATTAAAGAAAATATTTCTTTGACCCTATATCAAAGAAACATTTTTCTGATTGTGAATTTCTAATTTATGTGTCGTCGGTAATGTAGAAATATAAATAATGTGGCGCGCCACTGAACTTTTATATTAATAAAAAAATTTGAAAAATTGAATTGCAGAGGAAATTGATCGATCATCTATATATATAAAAAAAAAGAAAAAAAAATGAATTTTATTTACATTGTGATAGGTATTGATGGACTTATTCAACAAATCTGAACCAATAAAGAATGCATCTTACGACAATGTGGCTTTCTTGGGAATTCACGATTTATATAAGGAGGGAGAGTGGGTGAATGTTCTTGGGGATTCTCTTTCAAAGTCCGGCTACACTCGCTGGAGCAATGAATGGGGTGGACAGCCTGACAATGGTGGGGGAAAACAAAATTGTGGTGTCTTTATGAAAGATGGAACTCTCGACGATGTCTCTTGTGATGTACCTTTTGCCTTTTTTTGTGAAATTCCACGATTACAATTTTTACATTGAATTATAAATCACAAACATCATTAAAAAACGCATAGCAATTTACATTTTTTGTTGCCAATATTAATTTTAATGATAATTATAATTTTTATCATTATAATTATTTATAATTTTATAATTACAAGTATTATAAATAATTATTATAAATATTATAAATTATTATTAAAAAAAAAAAATAAAAATATTATATAAATAATTATAATAACAATTTTTATAATTTTCTCACCAGTGAAGTATAGAAGAACAGAGCTACCAAAGTTACATACATGTACGTCGGGTTGCATGCCCAGTGGCATTATATTTTCATTTTTTATTATTAACTTTTCTTTTAAATTAAAAAATTTTTTTTGCACTGTATAAAAAGTGAATAAAATAAAAAAAAAATTGTATAAAAAATTTTAATAAAGTTTTATATTTTTACCTTAATATTTTATTCATTCCTTTTTTTTTTAAATATAATATTTCTAAATATTTAATTAGAAACTAGGTAAAGAACTAATTTTCATTTTTTTAATATCCACCAACAATTGAAAAAAATATACTTTTTTTTATAATATGTAAAAATAAATTAACAATGTAAAATGGTTTCGAAAGATCGTTGTATATGCGTTTTTAAAATATTAAAAAATTAAAAAAAAAAAAAAAAAAGAAATCAACAAATTTTTGTCAAAAAATAAAACTTCAATTAACATGATGTTTTCGTCTCTGGTCTATATGGTAAAAACAGGTATATGGGTTTCACATATTAATCGATGTAAAACAAATTTTCCAATATTGGCTTTTTTTCGAAGCTAAGCTTTAAATACGGATACACATTCATGTTGTTGTTTGTTCTTTTTTTTTAAATGCATGCATCGAAAAAATTGTCATTTTAATGAAGACGAAACGTGTATTTTAACAAGAGGTCTAAAAAAAAGTGACGTCGTTATAAATTTTAGACATTATTTTTAAAAATATTGTTTAAAAGAAAATTTTTACAAAACTTATTTACACTTCTTTAAAAAAAACAAATTTACTATAAACTAAATTTAAAAAAAAATAACTTAAAAAAACATGTTTTTAATTAATAATCACGATTTTTGTTTAGTTTTAAAATATATTTTTTTAATATCTTATTCTATGAAAATACTTCTATAAATATTGGAAAATATGATGTTGACAATTTTGTTTTTTGCAAAAGACTCAAATTTAGGTTCTGATCTCGGCTAAGTACCTGCAATCGGTAACTACTCGGCTATTAATATAGATTTTTACCTTATCAATAGTGTGCTAAGTAGGAATCTGTCAATAAGATAGGAAACTGTTTTACCGATCGCATCCTATCTTATCTACTGTCGATAAGGTAGATATCCGCATTGCCGACCGAGCAATCATCGGTTGTAGATAGTTTATCCATATCGCATCCTATCTTATCTACTGTCGATAAAGTAGAAATCCGCATTGCCGACCGAGCAATCATCGGCTGTAGATAGTTTTATCCATATCGCATCCTATCTTATCTACTGTCGATAAAGTTGAAATCCGCATTACCGACCGAGCAATTATTATCGACTGTAGGTACTTTAACTACTTCAGTTGTTTCGAAAACCACCAATTAATAACTGTCATGTAAATAATCTGTAATTTTTTGCTTCTTAAGTCCAAATAGGGTTTAATTACTAGATTCAAAGGTGAAAACTAGTTATAGGATTTCACTAGCTTATAGATTTTTGGACAACACACGAAATTCTAGAAAATAAAGTCAGAACTTTCGAAAATAAAATTATACAATCTAGATGAAATTACATGTAATATTATCTTGATTTCAAAAATTTTGAGGAAATCTCTGTATAATCAGAGTGTAAGTTGGAGTATGTATAATTTAAAATGTAAATGTGACTTAGGGGACCAAAGGAGTGAGGGGGAGGGGTTGGAAATCGTAGTATGTTGCTAATGCAGGGTTGGATAGGTAGAGTGAGAGAGAAGGGGGGGGGGGTATATGGCAAAGGGGTGGATTACTACAGTTGGCCCTTGGGACAAGTCGTTCCAACAGCTTTTCAGTACCTACACGCATTTACGTGTGTAAACTTGTGCGAGGGTGATGCGACAGAACTGGCGACACGACTAGAATAATTTTATCCTTTCCCAGGTATCTCGATTACCAACTATATCTATCTCTGTCTATCTCTGTGTCCAGTAAACGATTACAGTGCGCAAAACGCCCTTCGATTAGCTATATATATATATATATATATTCTACTTTTCAAAATCTGTCACAAACAAAATTCATTTTGTATTTTAATACATAGGGACAAAAAGTTTAAAAATTAACTATATCAAGTTCATATTGAGATACAATTATTACGTATTTACTTATACTAATTACTGAATAAAATAATTATATTTTTCATAAATATTATTAATTTGAAAAAATAAATTTTACATTTCGAAGTGTATTTACAAGTTTCAAAATTAAATATAGGTAATAGAATTTTTAGGTTAGGAATCTTATTAATTGATAAGTAGAAGCGGTTCGTTTCCATTTTCCCCACTCGACATTTGTCATAATTCTCTTCAACTACCGCACCCTGCTTTAGTAAAAATTTAGTAACTTTATAGCAACTTCTAATTTTAACAATATAAATTCACTAAATTTTCACTAGAGCAGGGTGCGGTAGTTGACGAGAATTATGACAAATGGCGAGTGGGGACAATGGAAACTAACCAAGCGTGCCAACCGTCATAACAGAAAACTATAGATAATGGCGCGAAGTTCAAAAATATAATGAATTAAGTGTCTAATACAATGTCATACAGTGAACCAATAATAATAATTTCTGTATTTGTTACAAAAACCATTTAATTGACTCAAATAATAATTATTTGATCAATTTTTTTTTCACTGTAGAATTTTTAGGTTAGAAAGCTTATGAATTAACAATGACAGATGTGCCAACCATCATAATAGAAAATAATGGCGCGAAATTTAAAAATATATTGAAATAAAGTGACTGTAGTCACTTTATGTAGTAACTGTAGTAGTCCTACAGTGCTACCAATATAAGAATATTATAATCGAAAATATAACTAGATTTCCTCTATACAAATTGAAATAACGTCAGAATAATTTTGAACAATGTGAAGTTTACTATTAATTCTATATCCAACATTGTACTCATAATATACTACTAAACAAAAATGAATCCATTTTTTTTATCAATATAAAATAAATGATTTTTAAAATAATATTTTAATTCTATATATTGAGATTTTGAATAGAAGCCAAAATAAAATTACCATTTTGGAAAATTCAACATTGATCTTTGACCTGCAAGCGTATGCGTATATAATATATATATATATATGCAATTATAATGTTGTTAGCAAAAGCAAATTTAACTATGAGAAAAGTTTACGAGTGAAGAGGATTTCTCTCCATTCGCTTTTAACCACTGCATCATTGCTGAATTTGCTTTACATATTGGTCGATGCTTTAAGCAAATATTACACATGGTATTGGCAGAAGTTACCGCAGCAAACATACAATAAATGAATACTGGCCCATTTAAGTTCCTTTGATGTGTACACCATGGACTTAATATAATAGTTTTCATTTTAAAACCTATTCAAACGTTATATAAAAACGTATATAATAAGATTATTTAACATTTGTCAAATATTCTAATCTTAATTTATGATATTTTCAAACTTTATATTTAAAACCCCAAAGGTTCATAATTTCTCAAATGTAATTAAAAGAAATTTCTGAAATTAGGAGAGAAAAAAAAAATATTTTGTTAAAGTTATTAATAATTAAAATTTTTAGCTGTATTAAATAAAATCAATTTTTTCTCGAGATTATTAATTATTATTATAAAACTTTTTATTAACTTATTATGTCAGTGAAGTTTGCAAAAAGTTTATAATCAACGATTTAAGGGCAGGGAGAACTGAAATTTTAACCTACATTTTAAAAGAAGAAAAATTTTAAAAGAATTACCAGTGAAAATTTAATCAAAATTTACATTATGTAGAAAAAGGGACCACTTTATTTTCATTCATATAAGATCCATATTCGCATTAATGTTCAAGCAAATATAATCCTTATTGCGTAATCGACATAGATGTGATAATAATAATCGACATTTTCATGTGGACGTCCACATATTATATAATTTTAAATTAAGGAGGTTCTCCTGCTCCAGTGGTGCTCAGTTCTTTGCGAGTAGTTTATACTAATCAACAGCTCACTTCACTTTCGTGCTTTCTCTCTCATTCTTAAGCGAGTAATATACTTGACTCTCTTGAAAAATTTATAAATAACCTAACTTTTCTATTTTAAAACGTTGTAATTCAAAAATTAGCATGGATACCCCAACTAAATTTTTTTTTATATTATTCTATTAATTTCATTCTACAATATACTAGTTTTTAAAAAAAATTTATAGAAAACTTTTTAAGAAATTAAGTTAAATGTATTACTAATTCTATATGTTAATTGTTCCAACTTTGAACCCGAATATCTCAGTTTCTGCCATGAATAGAGGTACTGAGTTTTTTACCACTTATAAAGTACGCACAAAAAGGAATATTTTTGCAAATTTTAAGAAAAATTCATGGAAAATTGATTAGCCGGAGAACCACCTTAATTTACCTCTTTTTAGTATTTTATAAAGTTTTTAATTTAAATAATATTATTTTATTTTTAAAAATTTTCTTTTTCCTTTTGAAATTTTAAAGCAGCGCACCAATCATCGCTTACGCACCCCTTCCACACGAGTCTCCGGCACCAGTGCAACTTAGTGGCAAATAAACAGTTGCCAATGACTGTATCTAAATGCAACTGCGCATGTGCCACAATAACTCGCTCATTGGCAGAAAAAAGCGCGCTTATATAAAATTCTTTATTAATAAAAAAATATTAAGAAAGCAATATAAATAATTTTCACTATGGAATTTATTGGTTTTTTAGTTAATTATACTTCTATCTTATCAATACTAATTTTTTTAACCGACTTAAGTTTACTAATTATTGTTTTTATGAATGTAATAATGATAATAAAAATAAATATAATAATATAAGTTAAATATACAATATCGACGCCTCCCGTCCATATAATAGTAACTCAAATGTCAGAACTATATAATCGTAACTCGGAGCTCAATTCAATATGAACGTAGTTAATTTTCAGAAGAATAAAATCGTATCTCAACGATCAATTCTATATAATCGTATCTCAAAACTCAACGTAATTATTATAATTATTATTTAAGCTTTCGTAAAATAAAAATAAATTAATAATCTTATCTTCTAATAAATCTGTAAAAAAGATATTAAAATTAAAAGTTAATTTTTATTTAAAGTACACAAAATTTTTTAAAATAATTATTCTTGTTTATAACTAAATATACTGGTGAAAATCGATGTTTCAGAATCCATT